TCGATTGTAAAGAATCGATTCTCGCAATTCGATACAATACGACAGGCTTTCGAGATATTTCGATATAATTTCGACATGTTTTGATATGATTTCGAGATGTTTCGATATGATTTTGAGATATGTCGATATGATTTCGATATAATTTCGAGATATCTCGATTGTACGACAGCCAAACTTTTTTTCGTTTTTGTTCGACGATTAAATTTTGCGATCGATCTTCGTAGGAAAGGGAGATAGCGAAAAATTTGTAGAGATCTTTTTTGAGGGGAAAATCAAGACCTAAAAAAATGTTCCTATAAAAAATGCGGTATCTCTCTTAATTTTCAAGATATTCATCAAAAACTAAAATATTTCAAAAACTGAGATTTTTTTTATTTTAATGATTTTTGAATTTTTAACTCGATTTCTTTCCTTTCATTCTTCAGGACTCGATTTGGACTCTGGTAGCAGTGTCGGTGGTAGTCTCCCGAGCCCCGGAGCTGGTAGTTGTTCATTAGATGGAGCTTCAGCGAGTACATCACCTGCCTGCGGTCTCATGGAGCACGCGCCTAGTCCCTCTGGCGTCTCGGCCACTGTGAGTTCCCCCGGGGCGTCTGATTCACCGTCCACTCCGCGCTCGGGTGTCCTCCAGCAGAGGGTAAGCACCCCGGATTGATCCAGGCAAAAGCATATGATGCGTTTCGATCGTATCTCAACTTCAGATATTTTCACGTTAATTTCACTCTTTCATTCGTCTGATTAATTTTACTGTCAATTAGTCTGAGTTTGATGATCCATTTAAGGGGGAGCTTCGTGCTTATGCAATGCCAATCAACTTGAGTGCTTAATCCCCTACCTGAGACCCCAGTTTTCAATCGAAATTTTAGGCATAATTTTTGTTTTTTTCGTTTCAGCTGGGACTTCCTGGCGATTGTCAGTTGGAATTCGTCAACGGTGGACATGGAATTAAAAATCCGCTGGCTGTCGATGGACAGAGGACACCTACCACCAGAGATGAAGAGAGAGCACCTAGACCAGCTACTGGAAAGGTACGTAAACTGGAAAAATTCCAGAATTAAGAATCAAAATATCGAGAAATCGGCAAGCAACAATGGATTTTAATTTTTTCCCAACAGGAGGATGACCCCAGTCGCTTCACTTGTCGAGTCTGCAGCAAGACCTTCAGTCTCCAGCGACTCCTCAATCGCCACATGAAGTGTCACAGCGATGTCAAGCGTTATCTGTGCACCTTCTGCGGAAAGGGATTCAACGACACTTTTGACTTGAAGAGACACACCAGAACGCACACGGGGGTCAGACCGTACAAGTGCAATCTCTGCGAGAAGAGCTTCACCCAGAGGTGCTCCCTGGAGAGCCATTGTCTCAAGGTTCATGGGGTTCAGCATCAGTATGCCTACAAGGAACGTCGTACAAAGGTGAATATTTAAAAGATTTTTTTTTCATTAAAAAAATGCATTTTGCATTGAGAATTGACAAGTCATTTTAGTGGAAATTTTAAGTAGTTGAGGACATTCTCTAGAAAAGGTGATGTCTCTTGATAATTCCATGTTTAATGAATGGAAAAATCAAGGAAGATTTGATAATAAAAAAAAATTCAAGAAAATCCAGAAATAATTTCAACTCTTCAAATAACTTCTTCACATTCTTGGAAAAGTAATAATTTTAGAAGAAAATGTCAGGATATGTTTTTTCAAGCTGAGAAAATTCTCCACATGAAAAAAAAATCAAAATAATTTGAAATAAAAAAAATTCAGAAAATTGAGAATAAGATAAAAACCTCAAATCCTTCTTTCACTGACTAAAAAACTATTAGTTTGAGAAGAAAATATCAGTAAATTTTTGTCTTAAAAAATGTTTTAAAAATTCCACTACTTCACCAACAAGACCATTAATTAGCGCTCTCATCCCGAAAGGTTTACGTCTGTGAAGAGTGTGGTCACACAACCCAAGAGCCCGAAGTCCACTACCTCCACCTGAAGGACAAGCACCCATACAGTCCAGCCCTGCTGAAGTTCTACGACAAGCGTCACTTCAAATTCACCAACAGCAATTTTGCCAACATGCTGCTACAGGTGCGCACTTAATGCCCACAATTCTTGATTGACGTGTGCAGTCAACAGTGCTTTATTATCTCAAAAAAAAAAACAAAACTCGATACGATTGAATGACAAAAATTCGATTTGTAGACTAGAGAAATGAAAACTTGAAAGAGAGAATTGAATGAACAATTGTTTGTTCTTTGCTGATGTGAATCTGCAGGGTGGCCTTCTGCGGGACACGAAGGAGACGGGCAAGGCCATCGGAAGGGCGACAACATTGCAACTTGGTCGAGCCTCTTCGTACTGACTTAATGAACGAAATAGTGATGAATCCTTAAGCCATTTGGGATTAACACAGATGAATGTGCGTTCGATAGTGAGTGGAACTGAGGGAGGGACAGTATTTATTCCACAATGATTCACTGGATTAAATGTTGTCATAAATTTGACTCACATTGAATAAATGAGATGAAGGGAATAGTATTTGAATAGTTTGATCGAAGGAAAATGCTATTAAAAATGAAAATGTCTCGAAATATTTTCATTTTATTATTCAGAACAGTTTCTCTGAAATAAAAATAGTGCTCTTCCACTTATAAAAGCAAAATAACAATTTCAAACAGGTTTTTATGAAATAGTCCTCCGAAGAACTTGAATTCAACGTTTCATAAATAATATTTCCCACGATTTCGTCCCACGATACGTTGACTTTCGACTTCAAATGGCAATCCAGAGTTTCCCGATATTCCCTAAAAAATATTGTGAACCTCTCGATTAACAATTACACTCCTAATAATTATTTAATGATCAATTATTCTCAAAACGCATACCTTTGCGGTAGGGTGTCCTGTGATATAGGGAAAATGGATCTTACACGATTTTATATTAAAACCACGCACATCAAACTACACAATTCATCATCACGAAAAAAAAAATGATAAAAAATGAAAAAAAAAAAACGGGGTATCGTGCAATTTTATAATTTTCTTCTTCTTCAAGGTGGTAGGAAACAAATTAACTTAATTAATTTAGGATAAAAATTAACGATGGGACAGCAGCTTTGATTATGGCTGCCCTCATCCTGATTATTATTTAATTGAATCATCATCTGTAAATTTTAGCTTGTAAAGAATATTGTCATCGTGGTGCTCAGTGATTTTTCAAATCCCATAATGATATATAAAAATCACGGTGCTCTGTAAATATCTCGCAATTAGTAATTAACGAGTAATCAACGAATAAAACGATAATTATAATTTATAAATCTCGACTTTTGCAGGCATTGTGATCGTTCGCATAAAAAGACTGTAAATACTATGTATTTTATTATTCAAATCTAACGATCGTCAAGTGCACGTAATGTCCGTAAGATTTTTTTTTTTTTATGAACAATATTTTTTATTCCCGAAGTTATTGTCATGATAATTGAATAAAGTATATCTTGTAATACTCAAAAATAAAGATTCAATGACAATTGACGATATGATGAACAACTCTGTCATGATAATGCTTAATTATTTAATTAAATCATCGTAATTACGTCCAGTATTTGTTATGTCTGTAGTAACAATTTTTTTATATTAATTATATTCACATTATCTCTCATTGTTATGTCAATTATTAGACGATTTTTCGACGCATCGAACCACTTAATTATTAATTTTTATTTCGTATTCATTAATTGAATGTAGTTGATTATTGAATTTATTGAGGAAGTATTTATATTGAATGTTAAATAACTGCGGCTTATTCTGGTGTGAATTTTATATACTCAGAACAATTTTTTTTTCAGAGGGAGATATGCACGTCTATTTGTTGAGTGAATTTATTTTCCATGACTGTGTAGAAACGTAAGGGAAATTATGAAAAATGGGTTTACAGATTTTTTTTTCTACTCATAACGATGTATTATAGAGGTCTGAGGCATGATATTTGGATGTTTAAGGATAATTCAATTTATTAATGGAGAATATAACGGTTAATATAGTATATTGTACGTAGAGGAATAAAGAGAATAAAATTATATGAAATTTGATATGTTTTTTTATTTGGAAATAGTCTTTTGCATATTTGTTATATTTTTTTTTTATTCACGTTAGGTGATTTCAGTCGTCAAGACGAGGCACTTTATCGTGTTCTCTACGAGCTTGAAACAAAAAAGGAGATTGACATGAGAGTATTTGTTATACTACAACTCCTGGGAATGTTCTATCTGCAACAAAAAAAATTATGAGGGAACTACTCACTATTGGATCATGCAAGAATTGTCTGTCACGAGGACAAAATAGATTTTTTTTTTAAATTATCTTTCAGAGCTGGGCACAATATTCTTTGCATTCGTGAGAAAATACTAGTAAAAATTGATAGTTGATGGCAATCGTTTGAAATATTTTTAGTTCAGAATTGACAATAGCATATTTTCAGGGAAATTAATTGTAATTACAGGTTTCCATCAATAATTGAAGAATATTGGTAATAATACGGTTAATTATACGCAAATTTCTATTTCAGTTAAGTTTAAAATGCAATTTAGCTTGAAATCTCTCGAAATATTTCCGTTTTATTATTTTAAATAATACCTTTTTCGATCAACGAATCACTCAAGCAGAGAAATTGGTTCTAATCACAATAGGTTATTATAAATGATTAAAAATAATTTTAAAAAATGCAATAAAATCGCAATTTTCTGTTTAATTGCATTTTTTAATAAAAAATGAATCATTAATATTGAGATTGTCAAAATTATGAACTTCAAATAATTTTTCCCTTCAGCCCCCTTGAACTCGTCCCCAGCTCTGTCCTCAAAAATGCAAAAAATCAATTTTTACTCACTGCCAGCTCCGCCATAAGACACCTGAGGCTTCGCAGGTACTTTCGGAGCTTCCCTCTTGCCCCTCGACACCTTATCATCCTCACTAACTCTCTTCACCTAATCCAAAAGCCCAATCATCAACAGTTCTCCATTTCCCACAATTTCCCGATCACCTGTTCTCACTCACCTGTTCATCAATGGCATCAAACTGCCACTTCCAGGTGTGATTGTACAGAAACTGTCTGTGATCATGCCTGTTGTCATCCGGACTATAGCTCTCCAGATGACAAGAAGGGGTGAGAATCGTCATCTTGTGTCGATTGATGGCGTAGCACCTCCAGAAGTGCTTGACCTTGTCAGCCACCTCCTGAGGGGTGCAGTGGTTCCACATGGGGACCAGCTTGCAAAACATGGAGAAGGGCCCGCAACACTGATCCTTCCTGAGTCGGCCGTATATTGACAGCTCTTTGTAAGTCATTCCCATGTCTACTTCGTCGGCCTGCACCAGGTGGCCTCCTTGCAAGGGCTCCAACTCGGCTGTTGGAACTGCCTCAAGCACCTGCTTTATCGCAGTTATCCCGTATTTTTCTCCAAACCATACCTGCAGTATTAATAATCATTTCATATTTTACTTTCTGAATGCGAGACAATGCGGAGAAAAAATTGGGGATGAATTGGTAAACTAGGATGAGTGCATTTTGTGGAAGCGATTTGACAAAAAAAATTGATGCACTTACCCTAGTTTATCATTTCACGACAGAAATATTTCCAGTTTTTAGATAAATGTGTAACTATTCTTGATAAATTAACCCACATTTTCGTCTATTTTGGGCAAATTTTATTATTTTTAGGAAAGGGAGCTTTATGAGGCGAAATAAAATGAAAGGAATGAAAAGACAATATACAATATTGAAAATATTGAAAATAGCAAATTAAATAATTGCAAGCCAGTCGCATTTTATTCAATTTCAATTCAATATTCAATTGGTTTGATCATTTAAGGATGTTCTACACCCTTTCTGCCAAAATTCACGTTTTTTCAATTTTTCTGGCAAACTTATGATGGAATTGACGTGAAAAAATATAACGTTTTTGCGTTTTGTCATTATTTAATGACTGACGAAATTTTAAGGTGGTGCGAACATTTTCCTGCGTTTTCTCTAAACTTTTAAAAAGAATCACAAAACTGTAAAAAACGCATGAAAATTATCGCACCACTACGCAACTTCGTGAGCCATTAAAGAATGACAAACCACAAAATCGTTATATTTTTTCACGTCACTCCCATCGATAATTTGCCAGAAAAATGAAAACAACGTCAATTTTGGCTAAAAGGGTGTCGAACATCCTTAATGTTAGAACTCAATAAAAAACATTCCTATCTATCTAAAACTGTGAACTTGCAATTCACCTCACTTATTTCCATTCCCCTTAAATTAATCCCGTCAATTCCTCAACCCCCTACTCACCAAAAACCTCTTCAAATCCTCCTTAGAAATCCCGCCAATAGGATTGATATCAGCACTGCTGCAATCGTACTTTGTGAAGTACCCCCTCAAGGCCTCATCGACATTGCTGGACCCCAGGACAAGAAGTCCCCCAGGTCTCCCCCGGACCCACAGCATCAGCTGAGCAAACAGATAAGCTACCACCATTCTCATCCTCGCCTGGACATTCTGCAGGGCCAAGTTCTCCCTAGGCGAACCCCCATGAACCCTGAACTTGGGGGTGTGTTTGGCGACTTGTTGGAAGATCCCCAACACAGCAGAGATCGCAGTATCAATCACAACGCTCAGATGGTACGAGCCAATCTGATTCGCCAGCAAGGAAGCTCTAGCTTTCGTCTGGGCTGATGAGTTCTCAGTTGCCATGTAGCAAGTCACCAAAAGGGTATTGCAGAGTTGTTTAGGATCCGTTGGAACGTAATCGCAATCCCCCACAATTTTTCGAACGTCCGCCAACACCTGGGTGTCCCCAGTCTTCACTTCTTCAACGATCATTCTGCACATGTTGTAAACTATGCAGGCGACGGAGGAGGAGTCGACGCCACCGCTCAGGGGGAGGAAGAAGCCACCCTGGCAGGAGCGCCGCAGGTAGTCCCAGAGCCAACAGGCTGGCGCCATGCAGATCTCCTCCTCCGGGCGGAAGTAGAGAATTTCCGGGGAAGTTGTCTCAGAGTATTCGTCGACGATGTAGTCTACGTCAACTCGGGCACTTGATAATTGACATATTTCGGTTTCTGAGGTCAAGGCGAAGTCGATTTTCACACGGGGGTAAGCAGGACTTGAGGCGGATGAGTGAGTTCTCGAGCGGATACAGTTTCTGTATGCTCTGGAAGGCGCAAAAAACAGTTTTATGGTAGAAGTGAAAAAAAGGGCACTATTTTGCACGCTTCGCGCGTGGAGAATTGCCCTTTTTTCTCACCAGCATCGTAATAGTATTTTTCCGGCCTGTTGCGATGGGGTTTTTTACTCGTGCGGCGTTGGCCTCCGAGCCGTAGGCGAGGACTGGCCAACCACACGAGTAAAAAAACCCCATCGCAACAGCCCAGGAACAATATTTTTCTGTAGTGATTTTCAAGTTTTCGAGTTTGGGAAGTATGTAATACCAATTCCCGGACGAGAAATCGTGAGAAGCAGTACAGAAAAATATCCTTGGATCCTATCCTATTCCTCGATATATCTCGAATAAGCGTAAGACTGAAATCGAAGCGCCACTACGGGGGGATGAGAAGCCGCGTGCCTAGCACGCGCCGTCAATCTCGTACATATGGCAAAATGGATTTCTTGACGAGTGTGAGCACTCAACTCAACAATGACTTTCTCAATTGTATCGTAATGTGCCAAATTTTATTATTTCAATATTTTATTGAAAGAAACAGTAATGAAACCAACGGTAATGCCCACGAGGGGATTCGAACCCACAACCGTCAGATTACCAACTTGGTACTCTAACCAATGCAGCTACTTTGGGTTCATCGTAATGTGCTACTTTAGATGCGATACTAGAGGTGAAAATGCGTCACATGACCCGTTATATAACGGTCACATGACGTCTGTCACAATTCCCCATTCAGCCAATTTTTTTTAAATGTGTAACTTATTAATTTTTTCGTCATCAATTTTTGTTTGAATTAATTTCCCATTAGCCTAATGTGCATTTTGAAATGAAAATCACGATCATTTTTCATCTCCACAGATGCAACTTTTTATTTATTTTTTGTGACTGTTATGAAATAAAAATTAGTTGTGATCATCATTATGCATCGATATAGATTATTTGCAGTTATAAATTTCGCGTGTCACATGACCGTCATTTAGCATCTGTAGGCCGGCAACAGTGGGAGTGGCCCCCTTCAGTCGAATGAGCGGTAAATGCCAGAGACTGTGCGGTGTTTTTATTCTGACACATAATCTACTGTCTCAACGATTGAGCTAGGTAATTTTCCACATTTCCCTCAAAAGTAATTCCTCACTAACATAGAATACTTCTGAAAAAACATTCTTGCGATCCCCTAGATACGAGAATTCAAGGAAAATCGTGAAAATAATCTTCGCTGCGAGGATCTTTACGCGCAATCAACAAAACGATTCCAAACAATGTCCAAAAGGGGATGAGCTGTATGCTATTACAGTACTGGATACAGCAAAATTGACAAGTCCAAAAGTATTGATCAAAGTTACTCTCAATAACATTGAAGTAGATAAAAATGAAGAGATAAAATTCGAGCTGAATATGGTTTATCCATGGGTAATTGTGAGGTTATGATGAGATATCCAGAGATGAATTCGTAATAATAGTCCAAAGATCACAAAAATGTTTGAACTATTGTTGACCCCAGAATTTTACCAATTTTCAAAGCAAACAGTAGTAACTAATTGTAAAAATAAATTTATTGCTCTTGCTGAGACAACGGAAATTGCTGATTCCACCCCTAGATATGACATTGCATCGTAATGTCCCAAGTTTTATCTTTTCAATATTTTATTGAAAGAAACAGTAATGAAACCAAAATGGAAATACAATTTTCCAACACTTTGACACGATGAAATGCTATTTGAAATAGATATTTCCAGGTAACAATTTTGATTGATCAAATGCTATTTGTTCAATTGTATTTATAAAATTGAAATCCAATAAATATTTTATGTTTCATTTTTACAAAATTCTAAAAAAATTATGTTTGTCATAATAATTTTTTTATTTGGTTGATATCTTGGAAAAATGTTTGTTTTTTAGTACTAATTGTTGTTTCTGTTCGAATTTTTTCTCCTTAAAAAAATATTCCAAATAATACAATGAACAAAATTCAAGAAAATTCGATGAATTACGTCAAATAGCATTTTATTTCATCGAATGGAAAATAGAAATTATTCCAAATAGTTCTTCAATTCAAGCTACTGAAATACTATTTCATCAGTGAAGTTCAGTAACTCAAACCTAGCAATTACCCATTAATATTTCAGTAGCGAAGCGGTAAAACGATTTAAGTCGACTTAGCTCTCAGCTTCGTTTTTGAGGAATATCTCCGAATCTGAGAACGATAGCGAAATTTTCGTAATTAACTTTTTCGTAGCGCTCAATTCGGTCTACAAAAAAGGTTCTAACAAAAAATGTTCTATCTGCCTTAGATTCCGAGATACTCATTGAAAACTGACCAGTAGCCAAAATCGACTTAAACCGTTTTACCGCTTCGCTACTGATTTCAAACAGTATTTTTCCAAGTTCCGTGAAATTATAGCCACCAATCCTCATCATCTCTCTATTTTCCAGATTGACTTCAGCCCGCAAATCCCCCGGACGAAAAGATGGCGCAAGGCACCCGCTCATCTCGCCCCCTGGATCACCAGGACAAGCTATCAATCCAGAAGCAATGGAACCTCGGAATAACAGCCGAAGTGGATCTCCCCGAGGACTTCGACCCCTCGACTGCATCTCCCCTCGACGATCGGTTCAACACATCAGCGACTAAACCCGACATCGTCGAGATGCTGCGACAGTTCGATTTGAAGTACTTCCACGGAAAGATCAAGGGCTACAGAATAGAGTGGAATGCGAGCCTGATAACAGCCTACGGTCGCACCAATTTCTCCCAGAATAAAATATCAATCTCCAAATTTCGGCATCTGGGGCAGAAGCGATCGGTTTTGGTCAAGACCATTCTCCATCAAGCTATTCACGCTTATCTGGACAAGTTGGGCTTCAACAGGAGGGAGAATGCCGCCCACGGCAAGGATTTCAAGGCTGAGAAGAGTAGGATTTCGAGAAAAGTTGGGGAGGACATTGCATCGAGGGACGATGTTAATTTTGCAGGGGCTGAGACCTACATACGTGCGCACCAATGCAAAAAATGCAAGAAGATTCTCTACAGGAGGACGGGCCAGGATCCGAATGTAGTCAAGCCCTACACCAAGGTCTATCACGATTGTCCTGGGGTCTTTCGCCCCATCAAGCTGAGGGAGACCTACAAGGAGCCATAGAGATTCGTCTCTAATCACCTACCCATTCAGTCATGTTCGTAATATCGAATAACAAAATGGTTAAATTGTTGTTCTTCACACAATTGCATGGCCAAACTTTTATACAAGTTTGACGGTTTTTAAAACATCATTATTCTTCATGGTTTATCATTACCATAGCTGTTCTACATATTTTACCGGTACTTCGCCGCAGTTATCTCGGCTATTGTTCGTGAGGAGCTCACGAGAATGTACAGACAAATCATGTTGTAATCATTCATGTCTTTTATTTCGAAATTATATCTAATAAAAAATTTATGAAAGCAATTTGTCGGTCTATTAATTCCAAATATGAAAGCCTAAATGAATTGTGAGATCTTTTATTAGAAAAATCTAAAGTAAGTCAGACATGGCTCAAAGCCCGCCTCAGAAGTAGAACCCAAGACGCAGGAGCTCCACAATGGAAAATATATTTAAAAAAAAAATTCGCGAAGGAATTAATCAAAGCAAAAAATGCAAGAAGATTCTCAACACTCGAACTTTATTTTCATTCATCACGAGACAGCCGATAAAAAAATCTAAAATTCTGAAAATGAATATATGAATGAAATTTCACTTAATATCGATGGACATCTGGTAAATTTAATTAAAAAATCATTACCTGATGGAGTCCAAATCAAAAGTGGCAGTGGTAACCTCGACCTCCCTCAACGAGAACTGCTTAGCCCGCCCAATCATATTCCCATTAACAGTAATCGATGAGAATCCCATGAAAAACATCCTCCCACCATCGCACCCAAAGAAATCACTGTACATGTAGCATCCACCAGCCTTGGCCGCTGCTGTCTTCACCCTGTCAACAACAGTATACGCTTTTCTTATCTCAAACATGCATCCACTGGCATTCGATATGATCTCCACACCGTCCAGAGACATTGGTATGTGATTACTATCGGGATGCCAGAGTTCCTCGCATATTTCAAAACCAATGCACGTATCTCTGGTTGCAATTACAGCATCGCCAATGGGAACAACTGTCTGACCAGTTATTTGGGATATATGTCTCGGCAGGAAGTAATCCTCCACTGTTCTTATCTGAAAGACAATTAATCATAATCGAGTGATAGATGACGAGGAATTTCATCGAGAGTTTAGTGAACCTTTCTCCAAGCTGAGAACCACCTTCCCTCCCTGTAAATCGAGCTATCACACATTTGCATCTTCGGACGTATCAGCAATATCCTTCTGTTCAAGAAGGCAACTCTACAGTTGTACGTTACATTCTTGTGCATAACTGGCATTCCAACGTCTATCAAAATATCCTCACATATGTTTGATTTCAAGAGGACTGCCAGGACCTCCCAGCTGTGGAGATTCGTGTCGTTTTCGTAGAAATGATCCTCGCAGTTGTATCCCCTGCGTAAAATAAATTCAACAAGTAGGAATTTGCACACAGTACAGTTATTTTTGGTAATAAATTAGCAATATGCTTGCGAAGGGTTATTTTGTACGTCATTTCCTTCTAGGATGTATCATTCATTGTTTATTTCATTTTATTAAATTGAATAAGATTTCTTTTTAATTAATCTTGTCAGATTTTCAAATTAATTAATTCTTATTATCCCTTTCGTCTGTACAACCAATTGTCTTTTTCCGTTTCTATCTCTCCCCTCTCTGATACTTCTGATATCCAAAAAATATTTAAGCTTTGCAAATTTTTAAATAATTCAAAATAACTATTATTGCTATTGCCTTCACCTTCGAACTCGGTCAAAAGGACATCCAAACAATTATTTTGAGCCCTCATTTAATCAATTCAGAATTTTTTTTAGCTATTGTGAAAAAAACAATTTTTGAAAAAATGTTAAAATTAAAAAAATTAATAACTCATCTTTTACGTTTCTATCTCTTCCCTTTCTGATACTTCTGATATTCAAAAAAAAATTAATTATTGCAAATTTTCAAATAAATCAAAATAAATGATTATTGCTATCATCTTCATCTTCAAACTCAGGCAAAAGGAAATCCAAACAATTTTTTAAGCCGTCATTCAATCAATTCAGAATTTTTTTAGTTATTGTGAAAAAAACTATTGTTGGAAAAATTCGAAAATTTAAAAAACTAATCGATGAATTAAAATTTAAATAATGGCGATTGATAGGGCTCAACAGTACAATTGAAGAACAAAAAGGATTGAATTCCATTCATAAAAATAGCATTTTCAGATTTTTTGGACCGTAATGGATAGACATAACACGAAAAATCCAAAAAGGTTTCTCAACATTTTTAAAATTGTATTGTTCACTTACGTAATTTCAAGCTCAGGACCACTGCGAAACCTAGCCCCCTGTGCCTTAGCCTCCTTGATGCTCTCAAGAATCCTTCTCAAATTACCATCAAAGTCCATGGCCCACTGGTTCAAAGTGCAAACCGCCACCGTCGCCGTTCTCCCCATCATTAAAAAAAAATAATTTATCCTCTATCCTCACTGAAACAATAAAAATAAAAAATCTCACACAGACGTATACCTTGCGCCCGACTCCTGCCTGATGGTTGATTGATCAATACGTATCGCAGGGGCCCAAATCTAGGCTCTGCAAATTCTTTTTTAAGCCAGAGGACAGTGGAATAATTATGCTCGCATAGATATTCATAGATGTCTAAATTTAAGAACTAATGTAGGGTTCGACAATCGTTTGGATATCATTCCCAAAATCAGGGGGAGATGGACTGGCAAAAGCCCGCCCATATTGACTCCGTTGTCAAGTAATCAGAGGAAAGAAACCCGGGGATTGGTCAAATAGTTTATTCTGGATATTGTCTTTCGAGTTTTATTAGATTTCTACGGGAATCGGGACGTACGACTCGACAGTCGTTTCAAGGCTCCTTTACCCAGTTTTTTTTCCCTCCCCCGACTGATATTACAAGAGAGATCATTTGAGAGTCGTACTTATGGAATACATAAAATCATCTAAAATGAGATATGGATTTCCTGTTGAACAGTCGAGTGAGAGAACTGCAAGCTATCTTGTTTCCAGTGTTACCTATTCCAGGTACAATATTTTTAATAATTGTTCGATTAGGGGATGGATTAGGCAGTGGTTAACGGTCTCGAGGTGATTAAGGTGTTAATTGTACTTTCCCACAAGTTTTGCAACTACTGTAGAGTGAAAGGAAATACCTGGTATCGATCAATCTTTGCGTGCAAGTTCGTTGAATACATACATTCCGGTACATAACTATGTGTAACGAGACTGAAGTTTTTGAAGCGCGGGATTCACGCAGGGAATGAGGCATTATTCAGTCGGTCGTTCACCGTGAATAGTTTCATCGGCGAGTTTTGAATTCATTAAAAAGGGTTTTTATTCGGGGTGAGTGAGGAGTTCGTTGGTGGGAGGGAAAACATGTGTCTTGTTTTTAGAATAAAACCTGTGGTTTTTGGATTTTTTGGGTTTTAACAGATATTTTTTTAAAATAAAAAACAGGTTAGTGAATTGAAGAAGAATTTTTTAAATGCAGTACCAAAAATTTATTTATTTCAAGTGAGAAATGTCTTTAAAATGAGAACAGAAGTTTTCGATTAAGAAGTTGGCGATTTTCGACTGATAAATTTTGGAAGATTTTACTGAATTTTTTTTTCATTCGGAGGAAGATGAAGAATTTATTGGTCGCACGGAGAAAAGTGATTTATTTTTAAAATGAAATTGATGATTCAAAGATTTTTTGGATTCTACCGCCGACTTTTTTCGAATAAAAAGCTGTTTAATCAATTTCAGAAGAAGAATTTTTAAAAATCCCTTTCAAAACTCCACTTATTTCGACTGAAAAGTGTTCTTCTAATAACAAAAGGCGTTTTACAACTAATAAAATTTACGTTTTTACACTAAAAACATTCGAAACGAATAAAATTCAGGATTACTTGGACATTTATTCAACATTAATTAAATGAGAATGCCAAGTGATGCAACAAAAAATTTAGAATTAAATAGAGCCGAAAAATAATTGAAAATTTGGGTTAATTAATTTATTCTCTGGACTGATGATAATGTCACTCATCATGAATGAATGTGCGAATGATTTCCAGCGAATCGAGTGATAAGAGTTGGTAATTGTCGGAGAAAACTGGAGAAATAATGCCGGAATGCCATGAACCGGTGTCCGAGAGCACCGGAAGTATTGGTGAATAATGAAAAATAACGAATTAAAATTTATGAACGAACAATTTATAGTTTCGATGATTTTGTACATTGACATAATTTCCGTTACCAGCACGCTAGCAACATAATGTTCTCACGCTTCTTCAGATGATTATAATTGCGTTATTAATTGATTTAATTACGTTAGCTCTTACTCAAGGGAATGGGCGATGATTTTAGACTAGTCGAGGGGATTTTAATGCGAAAATTCGATTATTGTAGGGAATTTTCTGACTACTCAGTGCCTTCAGGATCGATTTGGGTTTTCCCGAAGAGACGTAGACTCGGTATTACCCATTGCCTCTAGTATCCTCAAGTACAGAGAGGCCGATGTTCAGCCTATTGACGCTATCACGCAAGAGCCACGGTGGCCTACTGAATGCAAAGTTCGTTGATTATTAAAGAAAAAAAATTCTCAAAAAAAAAATTCAATGGGGAAACTGTTCTTCTGGGGTTTTTCCAGGTGATTCAAGAGAGAGTTCGTCATATCGATTACTCTCCACCTATGCCTGAACCTTACTATGTGCCAACTGGGAAGGAACCAAAGCCTAAACCGATTAGCGAAGACATGGGAACTGTGATTTTTGCTTATAATCCTATGAGTGCAACGAATTATGTGAGATTATCGAAAATTGTTTTTATTCTTTAGGTGAATTAAAGGATTAAAGGTTGAATTTTCCGGGAATAAGAGAATTTTCCAAGAGATTTTTTGGAAGAATTTCATGAATTAGAAAAATTATCTGATAAATTCCTCTAAATCTAGTATTTTCTTCAGATATTTACGAATTAGTGGACATGATCTTGCTTTCCATTCATGTTTTGTTTGGACATTTCACTAAATTGATCAAATTTATTTTTTAATATCTCGGAATGTTCTAAACCTAATCATTATTTTGTTTAAATTCGTGAAATAGTCGACATGATTTTTTCAATTTGTATTTTATCTCGTCGTTTCGATAAACTCGTAAAGAATTTTCATAAATATTTAAAAAACTACTCGTGAGAAAGTGTTTTTTTTAAATTTCATAAAATGAAAAACAAATCTCCTGTCGAAACAAATAAATGAATTCTCCACTTAGTTTAGCAGATCCTGTGCAGGTGGAACCGTAGTCCTGACCTCCTCAGACATGTACACAACCCTGGAAGAATGCAACGACCCGAATCCATCAGTTGGATCGAACAATAGCACAAGTGACTTGAAATTCGAGTCTCGATTTGAATCCGGAAACCTCGGGAAAGTCATAAAAATCACTGAGACATACTATCAGTTGCACTTGAGGAAGGATTTATACACCCAGAGGCACATGCAGTGGTTCTATTTTCGGATATCTAATACAAAGAGCAAGACAATATACCGATTATCAATTGTCAATTTTTGTAAAGAGGACAGCCTCTACAACGAGGGACTCAGGCCTCTCCTCTATTCCACAAAAGATGCCAGCCTCCACGCTGTTGGGTGGAGACGATGTGGTGATAATATAACTTATTACAGAAACGATTCTTCGTGAGTACAACTTACAAAACAATTAAAATAAGAGTTTGATATTTCCTCAAAATTAATTGAACGAAGAAAAAAAATTTCTTCAGTTCTTAGTCCAGATGAAAATGGAAATATCTCGGGAATGAAAGGGTTTATCAAAAAAACTCCCAAAAAATTATTTGCGGGAAATTTCATAAGCTACAAAAAGTTCCTGACACTTTTTCCGATAGGACGAACGGTTCCCGAGATTTTTACGAAATACTGAGCCATGCGAAAAAAAATTTGTTCAATTCTCATTTCGAATAAAACCCTCATTATCTTAAGAGGGAATGGCTGTACCAAAAAATATCCCTGAACATTTTTCACCCGAAATTTCATAAGCTACAAAAAGTGTTGAGCGACATTTTTCGATAGGACCAATGGTTTCCGAGATATCGCGAGTTTTCTGAAACCCATTTACGTTTCCAGAGACGAAGAGAAAGAAAAACATACTCTAACATTCAACATAACATTCCCCCACGATCAGGATACTGTTTATCTGGCTCACTGTTACCCCTACACCTACACAGACTTGCAGGTAAAATACTCCAGAGGGATCCCCAGAGTCTTCATTAATTTTCGACTGGAATTGTAGGAATATTTGACGAGAATATCCAGCGACCCCGTGAAATCCCGTTTCACGAAATTGCGACTGCTCTGTAGAACACTAGCTGGGAACAGTGTTCATTACCTAACAATAACAGCTCCTAATTACACCGACGAAGGGAGGAAGAAGAAGGGAATTGTTATAACGGCGAGGGTTCACCCTGGGGAGACACCGTCAAGCTGGATGATGAAGGGAATCATCGATTTTCTGACTGGTGAATCAAATCAGGCACGAGTGAGTCTCAATAAAAATTTAAGGTTGATGATGCAGTTTCTGATCAGCTAAAGCCAGTAGAAATTACTTTTGTCCCAACATAATCTTCATATTTTTGCTAATAAATTAGCAATTTGCTTCTGAATGGAATTTCGAGACGAATGCAATGACAAAATGGCATTGGGATGACCATTTTAAATCACAATTGGATTCACGTGAACAATTATTTTTTCAGTTACACGTAAAAAAATTCCAAAATTTCCAAAAAAATTGTAAATTTCGCATTTAACAAATACAATGCTTCCATTCGCAAGCAAAACTGACAGAAACGTCAAAAACGCGGTCCAGTTATCAGATGCTACTCCTGATCAGAAATGATCATTTCCCTCAATTCCATTTTTTAAATCGATTGACATTTTTCGGACCGTCTCAAGGAGCTGCGGGAGAGATTCATATTCAAATTAGTTCCCATGCTGAATCCAGACGGTGTAATTGTCGGGAATAACAGGTGCTCACTGTCAGGAAAGGACTTGAATCGACAGTACCGTACAGTTATGCGAGAGAGTTATCCATCTGTATGGCACACCAAGCTCATGATTCGAAGATTGATGGAGGAGTGTGGTATTGCTATTTACTGCGACCTTCATGCACACTCGAGGAAACATAATATATTTATTTATGGGTGCGAGAGCAAGAGGGCTGGATGCTACGGCAAACTTACTGAACAGATATTTCCACTTATGCTGCATAAAAATGCTGCTGATAAGGTGGACAAATTTTTTTTTTCATGTCTATATTCATGTTTAACTTCATGATGACAAATTTATTTGAAGATCATGAGACATTGACATTTTATGGGAATTAAATTCGATGTTAGGGGCGAAAAAATAATGAAATGTTGAATTTCCTTGAAAATTTAAGGGAATTACAATTTTTTTAGCAGTAGGAAGGTGGGATTTCCCAAGTAACTTGAATTTTGCATCAATTAAAAATTCAAAAATATATATTTCTGATTTCTATATATATTTTCGATAACACTTGCTAATTTTTCATTAAAAATTTCCAGCTTCCATGAATTTTTTCAACTTTTGAATTTTTAATCACGAAATTCCTTGGAATTCCTGACGCTCTAGAAACATTTAATAAAATCATGTCATGTCTAAATGTAGAACTAGAAAACATAAATTAGAAATTAAATATTCACATAACAAATTTAATAATTTAATAATGTCATAATTTTATGCATGTGATGGAATTTTTATTCATTGGATTCCAGTTTTCCTTCGAGAATTGCAAATTTCATATTGAAAAGGGGAAAGAGGGAACTAGCAGAGTTGTCGTGTGGCTGATGGGTGTGCAGAATAGCTACACTATGGAGGCATCAATGGGTGGATCCAAGCTCGGGTCTAGAAGTGGAACACACTTTTGTGCTCAGGATTATGAGCAGATTGGAAAAGCTTTTTGTGAGACTTTGCTCGACTTTTCCGATGACGATCCCACCAAGGTGAAAACTTCAATGCTAATTTTGTTTTTCATTATCCGAAGAAAATAACAGAGAAAAAATTGCAAAAAGTCAAATAATGTCCTCTCATTCTTTATTTTCCTAAAGAAAAAAGCAAAGATCAAGAAACCTTTTCTGCAGCTGACAAAATTCCCAACGAAAAATTTACTTTCCTATTTTTTCCTGAGACTAAACGTTTCGTGAATACTTTCAGGTGAAAATTATCTAACTTTCAAAATTAATTTCAATTTAATTTTTCATTGAACTCAGGAAAAACTGTGCAACGAAAGGTGAAAAAATCAGAAAGAATTGAATAATTTCTTCTCATTCTTTCTTTTTCTAAATAAAAAAAAGGAAAACACCAAAAAATGTCTTGATATTTTTGCCTGAAGCCATTCGTTTTTAAAGCAATTTCACGTGAGAATTGTCTAGTTTTCAACATGAATTTTAATTCAATTTTCCATTGAACTTCAGGAGAGGCTACGTAACAAAATACTGGTTCGCCTCATGAAAGAGGGCTCCAGTGCAGACGAGCCCACGAACATCAATCTCACTGATTACTCAAGGTAATTATCAACCCTCCTTCCCCCTCCTCCCGAATAACTAATCATATCCCACTGAAACCCGATTAATCGCTTTGTTTGGATCAAAGTGATGAGGGCGATACGTCGGATAGTTCGTCAGAGGAGATGAAATTAGGTACGAGTGAAGCGACAATTTTATTGGATTCCGAAACCTCAGGGGATTATCGATCTCACTACCTGTCTGTGCCACCACCGTCCCCGCAACTACCGAGATCCAGGAATTCAAATAAACCGAGGAAAATGAGGAAAAAAACGAAGATGGAGGAGAGCAGGAGCATGAGGCAAAAATTATTAGTGAGTGATTGGTATTAGGATTTTTTTTTCATCAGTGAATGGACTCCATTCATTGATATCCATGTCAAGTATTTTTTTATCGGAATGACGCTATTGAAATACTATTTTATTCGCCCGTAGAAAAAAAGAGTTTCTGGTTCTAACGAGAATTTTTTTGTCTGTTTTTTAAGAGATTTTTTTGTTTAATTAAGGAAATTTCCAATAATTTCATTAATTAAACAAGAAAATCTCTGGAAAAACAGAGTGAAACAAAATGAAACATTAATCGAATTAATAGAAATTTCAGATGAATTTTTAATTATGAAATTCTTTGAAATTTCAGTGAAAGTGTAATTAGGTAAAAAATTCCGCTAGACATCGTGGACATTTTTTTATACTATAGACATTTTTTTACATTATTTTTTACGAGTTCAAATAAACCGAGGAAAATGAGACAAATAAGCGAAAATGGAGGAGAGAAGGAGTATGAGGAAAAAACTATTAGGGAATAACGGCTATTAGGATTTTTTTCTATCAGGGAATGCACTCCGTTCGAATAAAATACTATTATTCGTCCGAAGAGAAAAAGAATTGTGAGTTTTATTGAGAATTATAATTTTTTAATCTGTTTTTTAAGAGAATTTTTCTCGAAATTAGTGGCAATTTCACGTGAATTTTTAATGACGAAATCTTTGAAATTTTCTTCGCCCAAAATAAACAGAAGTTACTATTCTCACATAAAATCATAACTTTAATTTTGATGTCTAAATTTTCAAGAAAAATCTTCTCAAAACAAATGGAAATTTTGCATAAAAATAAACTGTAAATTTATTCACACAATTCTAGTCCCCAAAGGGATGAACTCCAATAAAGTAACGCAAATAAAATGACCCCCACGTATTCACCGATACCTAAATATAAATTGAAAAAAAAATAGAATCGTCGCCCTGTGATGGATTTACCAGCGACTGATCCTGGAAGCGACATGTGCTGTGACTTAACGGACTCGGCTGATGAATATTACATTACCGCTCCGATGGAGAATCCCAGAAAAAGCGCAACTTTGCGTAGGAGTTTCAAAGAGAGTTGCTCAGCCGTTGAAAAACGATACGAGATCAATAAAAAGGAATACGAGGCTGATACTCTTCCATTATTGAGGCCTCACACCCTGGCCTTTGTCGAGGAGTCTGTGAGTGAGAAAATCACTTGCAAAGTTCCTAGGACACGTGGGACACAGCCAGCAAGGTGAGGATTTTATTTTCATATTATTTTAATTTTTTTATTAAAAAAAATAAATAGAAAAAATTGCGTTTGAAATTTTGAAAAAAAATCGTGACCATTCAGCGTCATTAAAATGACATTTTGCACACAATTATTATTTTTTAAACATTAGATGTTTATAAATAAATAATTTAAATTGTTTAAACTTTCGGAAACCTCATTTTTTCAGGCACGAAATCAATTTCTGATAAAGTTCTGAATATAAATAAATTTGTTACGATCCGAATGAATGATTTCTAAATTATTTCATCAATCTTCCTCCAAAAGTAAACTTTCCAATTTTGTTTTATCAGATTTTTAAAATGGAACGGTTCAATATCGAGACAAAAAATTGGAATAACTCTTTTAGAAAAACGAAAAAATAATCACGTGTTTTAATTAATTCCCAGATTACTAGTTATCAGTTTCTATTTGCAAAGAGTTGTTCATTCGCAGATTTATGAGGCACTTGTCTCCCATACTCCCCAGAAGCCAAGACGTTCAGATTAAATTGACGTCGTTGAGGCAACAGATATGGACAGGAGTCCCTGATATTGATTGTAATCAGCATGATAACGAGGAGTATAACAGGGCTCCACTCAGCTGGGGTGTCTCGCAACTGGCGTTGCTGTGTCAAAAAAATAGTGAAGCTTTGCTCAAGTAAATTTATCATCTGAATGATCTATTTATTCGTTGGATAGACTTCACTCGGAACAGGAAAATTTATTCTTGTTGAAGAAATCGATGGAGTTGTGGGAGATGTAACTGAATAAGATGACTTCAAAAGCTGTGTGAACTTGGAGTCGAAGTTTGATAAATCGATTGTTTTTCTTATAGTATCGATTGTACTCAGTGAGTACCTGAATGTACTACATTCATTTTCATTTGTACCCCGCACCCCTAGACGTAAGGGGTGCGGGAAAAATCGTGCAGCGTCGGAAATGAAGGTACGGAAAAAATTTTCATGAGCAAGGATTCAGCATGGATAGTACTTGTATGTACTATATTTTTCTATTTCATTTATCAACCCCTTCAATACTTTACCCGCTTCTAAAATCTTAAATGTATGACAACATCAGGAAAACATACAGATAGCTTCTAAATCGTTAGTACTCACTTGTACCAACGAAAATTATTCATTATTATTATTATTCTCATCAAATCACCTGATTCCATTTTTATCAACCGTAAAATCATCGTAATGGATTCCATATGTAGTTCGTGAAGTTTTGATGTGGGTACAAACGTCTCATCTTCCGTACTTCCACTCCCATCGCAGAACAAACGGAACAATTTACTGTACATGATAATGAGACCAAGTACAAACCATTCAGAGCTTCAAAAACAGTCGTAGATTATTCAGAAAAATGGTACAAACGTTTTGCTGAATTTTATTGGTGTGTAGTGACGTGTAGGTGTTGGTACAAATGTCCTAAAGTACGGCAAGATTACTTGGCGATTTTGTTATGGCGATTATCTCGGAAACTATGAGAGATAGAGCCTTAAAACCTA